CGGCGGCGGAAGAGGCGACGGGCGAGGGTGATGTCGAGCCCGTCATAGGGGTGGCGGGCAGGGTGCCGAGCTCAACCTCGTATGAGGGAGACGGGGACCCGGGGGCCCGCTCGGACTCGACCTCGGGGAAGGGAGTCACGAAGCCAGGTGGTGGCGGCAGAAGGTGCCATGCCGAGGGGGCCGCCGGGGGCTGCCACTGCGCATCGCTCCATGAAGGGGGCGCGGGGGCCGGCGCTGAAGGGGCCAAAGCCGAAGGAACCTGAAAAAAAGGGAATACCGTCTCGATAAAGTACACATGCCTCAAGGAGTACACATGGTGAGTAACAGGATCATAGCACCGGTAACCTTTGGTGTTAGGAGGGTAGCCAAGGAAGACGCATGGGACGGATCGTGGTGCGAGCTTGTGTGTCATGGTGGACGCGGTGCTAGGATAACATAGACACCCGAAGATGCGGAGACCATCATAGGACGGTGGTGTGCCGAAGAGAAGGTGATGAGGGGCGTAGTTCCAACGAGGGCGACACAGATGAATGTTAATTAAGAAAGTGGCGGTAGCGAGGGCACCGGGCCAAAACCGAGTGGGCACGTTAGAGTGAAAGAGTAACGTGCGAACGCAGTCATTAAGAGTGCGGAGAATGCGTTCGGCGCGGCTGTTCTGCTGGGAAGTGTAGGGGCAAGTCAGACGGAAGGTGGTGCCGCGAGAGGCGAGAAGTGTGCGAAGAGAGACGTTGTCAAACTCTTTTCTGTTATCAGTTTGGAGTGCGAGTATGGGGCGACCTAACTGGGTGGTGACATAGGAGTAAAAGGCGATGAGTGTGGCTAAACCATTGGATTTACGACGAAGGGGAGAAGTCCACACACAATGAGAGTAATCATCTAAAATCACCAAGTAGTAAAGATAGCCCGTGTTACTCGCAACGGGAGATGTCCAAGCATCACTATGAAGTGATTGAAACGGAAAAGTGAAAACGAAGAAGACGCACTAAAGGGAAGACGAACGTGCTTACCTAAGCGACAAGCCTCACAATGCTCGTCGAGCTTATCACATGAGAAAGAGAAACTCCTAAGAATTTGATGTAAGACAGTGTAGTTGGGGTGACCCAAGCGAGCGTGCCAAAGGTCAACGCCGGCAGCAAGGGCGACGGGTGTGGAGGTGGAGGTGCCGGCGTGCACGGGGTAGAGCTCATCGGGACTGTCACATCGGTGAAGGATCATCCGGGTACGGGCGTCTTTCACAGAAAAGCCAATACCGTCAAATTCAACAGTAAGTGGGTTTTCACGAGTAAGACGACGAACGGAAACTAGGTTCGTGACTAAATTAGGTGAAACAATAACATTAGACATAGTGATGGGTGTGGAAGTGGAGGGAAAGCTAGTGCTACCGACATGAGTAATAGGTAAGGAGGAGCCGTTGCCGACAGAGATACGAGTGGGTGTGTGAACGGGAGTGGAGGAGGTTAGGTTACCAGGATGAGCTGCCATGTGCGCAGTAGCACCTGAGTCCATGTACCGGTCGCCTCCACCGACAGAGCTACTCGGCGACGGCGTGGAGTGCTGGGCGGCGAGGAAGGTGGGGTCCCATGGCATAGGTACCGGCGACGGCGGAAGGCCCCCGTAGGGCGGCACCTGGACGGGCGGGCCATAACCACCGAGGGGCGGCGGCGCAAGGAGGGCGCGTAGCCGGCGCCAGTCGGCTAGAAGGGCGCGCCGATGAACGCCTGGTGGC